GGAGGGATGGTAGTTGGCCTGCGCGGTATCTGGTGGGTGCAACGACATGTTGGGTCCAAGCGCTCTGTTGAACGTCTTCAAACAGCGCCGCTGCAAAAAGTCCGCCTGATTCGACGTGCTGGAGCTCAATGCAGGAGGAATAAAAACTGCCATCCGGAGACGCAGCTGGTTTCGTCGGCCTGCTTTCGGGAGCACTGGGAGTTATGACCACAATCGGCTTGGTCATGAGTATGGGGTCGGCTGAATTAGTGCCCCGTGGAAGCCCGTTTCTTGTTTCCACCCCTGACCTGCTATGACCAAGCTTACGCGCGTCTAGAGGACGATCCCCAGATAGGCGCCGGATCACTGGGTTGGTCCTTTGAATGCTGTCAGCCCGCTCCAGATGGGGAAGAAAGAGTGACTAGAAGTCCAAGGGTACGCTTACTTCCCTTCTGGCGTAGCCATTCTGCGTGGAGCTGTTTATCAGGCTTGGCAAGGACATTGCTAAGGATCGACTGTGCCAGCTTCGCTGGCGCGATTCTTCCGGAGAATGGCCCCCAGATTATCAGTCTGTTTTCCCTTAGGCGCCTGTCCACTAGAGACGCTGCGGCGGTTTTTATAGCCGCGTCAGAAAGCTGTATGACTTTGCCGCAAGCAATGGGGCCCGGTATGGATATCGCGAGGTATCGGTTCAGCGAAGTAAGTTTCTTGTCAACTTTCGTCCAGGTCGCTTCATTCTTAGCGCCTGAGTCCTCCAGAGCCTTTGAAAGACGCTCCAATTTCGCGTCGAGTATCCCGATTAAAGCGGAACGCTGACGGTGGTCTTTCTGAATCTGCACGGGGGCTTGGGTACCGTTTTGGAGGGCAGCCACTTCGTCCACATCTGCTGTGGTCCATCAATGGCTGCAGCGGGCAATCGGTGTAAATTGATGTCATGTTTAGGATTAGCTGTAAAATAGGATGTGTGCGCAAAATATCAAGGGTTGTCTCTCAAATGGTTTGTTAGGGTAATAAAATTGAACAATTACTCGTGCATACTCTGTGAATAGATTAAGCAACAAAAAATTCTTTCACGAATTTGCAAGATGGGAAAACGAAACCGATTTCGAACGTACCGCGCGATTGTTTTTTCCTTAGACGAAATTTATTTGTGTTCTCCTAGCCGACAAGCGCCGTCGAATCGAAGTTAGAACGCACTTTAGTAGTGGTAGCGTTGTTCCAAGCACGGTTGTATTAAGGCCATCGAGCGTCAAGTATTGGATATCTCGTTGTCCCACATTCTGTGACAGTCACCATCAGGTTGAACCAATCTACGCACAGCATGCGCATGATAAGCATCAGTTACTAGGTGGAAGCAGACCCAACAAACGAGTCTGGTGCATTCATCGGGCGGACGTTAGCTGCTGGGGGGTCAGGCTGCTGAATTATAATCCGCCGTTGCGGTGCCCATTAGGGCGTCCGATGAAGGCGAAATCGAGTACGCCATGCAACAAATGGCTGCAAGTTTCCTGTTCACACTTGAAGGCCAGGTGAGAGGCACAGTCTATGTACTTTAGAGAGGCACCGGGGTCTGGGAATTCGATCACACCAGTTACGCTGAGTGTACTTAGCTGCCTAGTGTGTTATGTGTGTTACTTGTGTAAGTCGGTGCGGTTGCCACCTTCTCTCTGGGTTTTCGCGAAATTTTTCCGTTGTCCAATTGCTTTTATCGTCCAGGTATCTGTTGTTAGTTTCTCTAAATTGCTACTAATTAACAAGTCAAGTGACAGTAAATTCGGAGCCGTCGTTTTCGAGAAATGCGCCGAATTGAAATACCACCAATTTTCACTCGTGTTGCAGTTCTGCGCCCAGGCAGAACAGTATGATATCGTTGATTTTTCAGAGTGATCCATCGTTCCGATGTTTGATGCTCACTTGGTCGCCGAATCAGCACCATCCGGGGATCGGATGCCGTATTTTCACCCAAGCCGCACGTCACACACATCGCACAGGGGGCAACTCACGTGCCCGGGTATGGCGCGTTGGGCCCAGTGATCCGATAAAAGCCCATAATTTAGTCATATTATGAGGGACTCATGCTGGCTCCGGTGATATTCACCCACATTGCACACCCACTCCTACTTATGTGTGAATTGCGCTGCTTTGTGAAGGTGGATGGACCGATAGTGGATATCGAAACTGGTGCGAGATGGCCCAAGTGGTTAGAGCGCGAGTTTACTGACCGGAAGGCCCGAACCCGACCCCATCGTCTCAACTTCCCGTGTTTAGGTTTGGGCGATCTGGCAGTATCCCAGCCCTCGTGTTTTTTCGGGTGGCATGGAAGCTAGTCACCAGAAGGATGCTACGGCTGAACGTTATCGAACCGGGCCCGAGGATGTGTCACAAATCAGATTCTCATTTGTGTAGCCTCCCTCTCATTCAGGTAGTTGGAAGGCGCAATTACTACCTGTGGTGTGTTATATTAGTGGGCCGATCAAATGAGCCAACCTCCGGCTTGAACTGGCTCCCGGTCCCGAAAGATGTTGAGCAACTACTATCACCCCTTTTCCATGGGGCGCACCGCGATCCATTGGGCTCCTTGTTAATCCGTCTCGGTGGGGGTATATTTCTATAAGCTAATTGGTTGGGCGGTGGGCGTGGAAAAAACAAATACTCAAGATGCTCAGCTGAGTTCATAACTCTGGTCAGCTGGTCGCACGGGCCCCCTTGATTAATAAGTTCCTCAAGGACGTATCCTTCGGTTGGATGTTATTACCTAGTTATACATATGACACCTTCGTTATTCCAGGGATTCGCGGTTTTTCGCATCTACCTCGTTAACCACCACAAACTTACCTCTTGAATTTCTGATTCATTTTTTTTCACCTTTTTGATTGTTCTATTTTACCACTTTCGTCACCTCTAGTGTTGATCACATTATCATTGAATTAACCTGGTTCACCGCCCTGTCCGAGTATTCTGTTTCAACAGTGTCTGTATCATCCAGTACGTTGCATTTGAAATTCCCCACGTTTATGCTGCCTCTATTTGTAACCCCCGCGCTTCGTCGACCCATTTTATGATGATAATATTGTCAATTTTAAAATGTACTGGTAACACCAAAAAGAAATTCCGGTATAGGCTGCCTAAAATGGCATTCACCCAAGCCACCCGCCAACGGTAAAGTAGAAAAGGATGGTGTAGAAGTGTGCGCCACCAATTCAAACGCAGAAAGTACTAGGATAAAAGTGACCGGGAGGCAATGTTAAATTTTGTGTAACATGTAATTAATACATGGATGACGGAATGAGCTTTAGTTAAGTGTGCCTAATAAGATGATTAATAGTTTCGAACGAAGAGTGATATTTGTAGAAAAAATTGGGTGAAAAATTTGTGGCTAGCGGAATGAGAGTGAATAACCCTGGCTGGACAGTGAAAAATAAACTGAGCTGTGACCCAAGGAATGCATATGAAGTGCAAGTTGGGTAGCCTTCCTACTATTATATACTGTGAAGCACTGGTGATCAGATATATCTTAAAGAATGATGTCAACACTACAAAGAACAGATCATCACCATGAGAGGAATTGGTGTATTAGCGGAAACGGCAAGCCAGGAGTGAGTTTAGATAGCTGAGAACTTTAACCTGGGACAGATTCAGCGAAATCGCATGTTGCTTGAAGCAGCTGCACCAAAGTAGACGTTCACATGCACAGTGAGGCACCAGAGCGATAAGTAGTGGGAAGGTAAAAGTAAAGTGACGGAGGAATATTAAACTATGGACCCGCTAGGCATTGCACTGGTTGTGGCAGACACGATAGTCATTCATACGCCGTAAAATTGCGTGTGGATGGCTCCGTGCATGAATGTCTTCTTTGAGGGGTCGAAGGCTAAATATTAAATGTGAATTTCCTAAAACATCCAACTTGGTTGTCCCCTTGCTTTAGCACCCAAACTCTTTCTCAGATAACTTTTAAACCAGGCTTCTTTCCAGCGAGTCTACCCAGGTTTAATGTACACTTCACTTAAGAGACACAAAGCGCCGTTTATCTCTACTGCAGTTTTCTGCATCTCCTAATGCCCACTGAAATTTCCTGACCCTGGCCATTGGACCAACCTCACAAAGTCATTCATAGTCTGCAACGGTTTCCCGTTTTACTTGAAATCGATCGGCCTCATCACAGAAATAGTTGTATCTCTTGAGTCATTGTTCCATTTATTGTTTTTCAAGAGTTACAGCCATTTATCACGTGAAAAAGAATGTCTCTTTAGTTTTATCCCCCATGCGTTGTGCTTTTCCGGGTCATGTTGAAGCCACGGCCACCCGATCATATCTCAAGTGGTATGCCCCTCAAATTGCGAAATAACCCTATTATTATTATGAACATGCTTATGTGTGTAGCTGGGGCGGGGTACCGTGGCTTGCGAGAATTTTTGTGGAATTGAGGCGACCGCAGCGACAATTGGACAAAAAAGAAGATAAAGTGTAGGTGCTACCGGAATGTGCCCATGTTGTCAAATATTCTGCATCCCAGGATACCGGACAATAAGGACCAACTACAGGTAATTACTGCTGCCACGCAATTGTTTCTGATCTTAAAATGACAATCATATGACACTGCACCTCACAACGCAGAAGTCATTAGTTGAGATGATGGCATTTTCGGGTACTATTCTGCATGGCGCTAACTGTGTTTGCACCTAATGTGTAGTCCTACCGGCAAAACGATAAAACCACCCAGGCCGCACCGGTTGGTAAGAGAAGTCAGTGAGGTCGGGAAACTGATGAGGGGAAGGGGATGATAAAATAGAGCGGACCTGAAAACAGGTGAATTCGACGTCATAACGAGAACCTGTATTAGCAAGACAACATATTGCCTGATTCTTAGCAAGTTATGTCACGGTCAACTGAGCTCAGTAAGGGGATAAAACCGAGAATGATAAATGCCTAGTGTTGTGTAATAGACTTGCTGGCTTTTTGGCTGGCAAATGGGAACAGGTAATTAGTCAGCGTCAGGGGAGGGTGTGGCACGAAAGATACATCCTATAGCGAAGTTGGTGTTTAAGGGGCTGTCTTGAGAAGTTGTGAAATCGGTTCAGGTGAACGTATTTGTACAGTCAAGTGAATTAGGAGAGGAAGGCAGACTGCCTGCCCATGAGCTTCAGCAGAGAGTAGTGGGGAAGAGTGAAGGAAATCAATGAGAGGCCAATAATATGTACTGCACAAAGCAAAACCATTCTAATTTCTGTGAGTTGGATAAAACTTAACCAGCCAGCGGTTTTTCTTGAAACTGTGCTAAGTTGAGAATGGAAAGTAGTCAACTTGCCGTAGCTTTTGGAAGCCTCTTCCGGCAAACCAGCTGAATTCCACTTGCAGCTCCGGCAGCAGAATACGGTTGAGAGATCGCCGCTACCGGATACGAGACAAAATATTGAGGAGGTGAAATACGCTGTTGCCCACATCATTGGATCTACTGTGAGCTCAAAAGTTGTGCTTCTGATGGTGTGACGCAGCTGCGGCCGGAGAAGGGAATGAAAGCTCATAGGAATTTTTTCGGAGCTTCTTACCCGTCCGATTTTGTCCATCATTTGCTTTTAAGTGGGTAATATTTTTGATTTCAGAATTTACAAAATGAGCAATAAGGCTTGGCCTCGGTTATAGAGGCATTTAGGTGAAAACGATTATGTGGGTGGGTGTCACCGAACAGCGATCGCTCGATT